TGCCTTTTATTTTATTTTTTGTCTGAGTGCTGTGCCTAGGACTTCTAGTACAATACTGAATAAAAGTGGTGAAAGTGGACATCCTTGTTTCTGATCTTAGGGGGAGAGAGCTTTAGCTTTTTACCGTTATGATGTTAGCTTTGGGCTTGTCATATATGTCTTTTATTATGTTGAGGGATGTTCCTTCTGTGCCCACTTTGAGAGTTTTTAATCATTAATGGATGTTCAATTTTGTCATTTTTTTCTACATCTACTGAGATGATCATATGACTTTTATCCATTTTGTTAATGTACTTCACATCAATTGATTTGCAGGTATTGAACCATCTTTGCATCCCTGGAATAAATATGACTTGATCATGGTGAATGATCCTTTTAATGTATTTTTGAATTCTGTTCACTAATATTTTATTGAGGATTTTTGCATTTATGTTCATCAAGGATAATTGGCCTATAGGTTTTTTTGTGTTTGTTTTATAGTGTCTTTGGTTTTGGTATCAGGGTAATGCTGGCCTCATAGAACGAATTTTGAAGGCTTTCTCCTTCTGTTTTTTGGGATAGTTTGAGGATAGTATTAACTCTTTGTTAAATGTTTGGTAGAATTTACCTCTGAAGCCATCTGATCCTGGACTTTTGTTTATTGGGAGTTTTTTATTACTGGTCCAATTTTGTTCCTATTAATTGGTCTGCTCAGATTTTCTATTTCCTCCTGATTCAGTTGGAAGATCGTATGTTTCTAGGAATTCTTTCTTCTAGGTTGTACAATTTTTTTTTTTAAGATTTTATTTATTTGACAGAGACACGGTGAGAGAGGGAACACAAAGGGGGAGTGGGAGAGGGAGAAGCAGGCCTCCTGCCGAGCAGGGAGCCCGACATGGGGCTTGATCCCAGGACCCCGGGATCATGACCTGAGCCAAAGGCAGACGCCTAACGACTGAGCCACCCAGGCGCCCCTAGGTTGTACAATTTGTTGGCATATAGTTTTTTGTAGTAATTGTTTGTAATTTTTTATATTTTTATGGTGTCAGTTTTAACTCATCTTTCATTTCTGATTTTGAGTTCTTTTTCTTGATTAGTCTGGCTAAAGTTTTATCAATTTTGTTCATCTTTTCAGAGAACCAGCTCTTAGTCTCATTGATCGTCTTTGTTTTTTTTTTTTTTTAGTCTCTATTTCATTTATTTCCACTCTAACCTTTATTATTTCTTCTACTGACTTTGGGCTTTGTTGGTTCTTTTTCTAGTTCCTTTAGATATAAGGTTAGATTATTTAAAATGCTCTTGTTTCTTGAGGTGGGCCTGTATCACTATAAATTTCCCTCTTAGAAATGCTTTTGCTGTGTGCTAAAGATTTTGAACTGTAGTGTTTCCATTTTAGTTTGTCTCCAAGTATGTTTTGATTTCCTCTTTGTTTCTTTGTTGATCCATCAGTTGCTTAGTAATCTATTATTTAGCTTCCAGGTATTTTGTGTTTCTTTAGTTTTCTTGTAATTGATTTCTTTCTAATTTCATACTGTTATGGTGGGAAAAGATGCTTGATATGATTTCAGTGTTGTTAGACTTGTTTTATGGCCTACCATGTGATCCGTCCTGGAGAATGTTTCATGTGCACTTGAATAGATACTCTCCTGTTTTGGGGTGGAAAATTCTGTTTATATCTGTTAAGTCCACCTGGTCTAGTGTTTCATTCAAAGCCACTGTTTGATTTTCTGTCTGAATGATCTATCCATTGATGTAAGTAGGTGTTAAAGCCCCCTACTATACTGTGTTATTGTCAATTTCTGCCTATATATCTGTTATTTGCTTTATTTAGATGGTGCTCCTATGTTGGATGCATAGATACTTATAATTATTATATCCTCTTAGTGAACTGATCCTTTTTATCATTATTGAATGACCTTTTTTGTCTCTTTTTACAGTCTTCGTTTTAAAGTCTATTTTACTTGATATGAGTATTGGTGTCCCATTTTCCCTCTGCTTTATTTGCATGGAATATCTTTTTCCATCCCTTCACTTTTTTTTTTTAAGATTTTATTTATTCATTAGAGAGAGAGCACACAAGTAGAGAGGAGGGGCAGAGGGAGAAGCAGACTCCCCACTGAACAGGGAGCCCAATGTGGGGCTCGATCTCAGAACCCTGGGATCATGACCTGAGCTGAAGGCAGACGCTTAACTGACTGAGCCACCCAGGCACCCCTCCATCCCTTCACTTTCAATCTGTATGCTTCTTTAGGTCTGATATGAATCTCTTGTAGGCAGCATATAGATGGGTCTTGTTTTCATTCAGTCACCTTATATCTTTTCCTTGGAGCATTTAGTCCATTTACATTTAATTATTGATAGGTAGGTACTTACTACCATTTTGTTTTTTGGTTGTTTTTGTAGTTCTGTCTTCCCTTGTGATTGATGGCTTTCTTTAGTGTCGGGCTTGGATTCCTTTCTCTATTACAGGTTTTTGGTTTGTGGTTACCATGGGGTTCATATATAACACCCTATGTGTATAGCAGTCTATATTGAGATCATGGTCTTTTAAGTTCTCTAAGAGCACTCAGGTTTTTTTATTCCTCCCTCCATGTTTTATGTATATGAGGTCATATTATGCCTCTTTTTGTGTATCCCTTGATTAGTTTTTATAAAAATAATTGATCTTACTACTTTTATTTTAACCTCCTTTCTAGGTTTATAAGTGATTGATCTACTATCTTAACTATGTTTACTTTTTCTGTGAAATTTTCTCCTCTCATAATTTTCTTCCACTGTGGCCTTTTCTTTCCACTTAGAGAATTTCCTTTAACATTTCTTGTAAAGCTAGTTTAGTGGTGGTGAACTCCTTTAACTTTTGTTTATCCGGGACACTCTCTTTCCAATTCTGAGTGATAATCTTGCTGGATAGAGTATTCTTGGTTGCAGGGGGTTTTTTTGTTTTTTTTTTTTTTCTTTCAGCACTTTGATTATGCCATTCACTTCCGGCCTGTAGAGTCCTGCTAAAAATGAGCTGATAGCCTTATGGGGTTTGTCATATATGTAACTGTTTGCTTTTCTCTTGCTTTTGGGATTCTCTCTTTAATTTTTGTCATTTTAATTATGTGTCTTGGTGTGGACTTCCCTGGGTTCATCTTAAGGCTCTCCTTGCTTCTTGCACCTAGATGTCAGTTTCCTTCCCCAGGTTAAGGAAGTTTTCAGCTGTTATTTCTTCAAATAAGTTTTCTGTCCCCCTTCTCTTATCTCCTTCTGGGATCCCTATAATGCAAATGTTCATACACTTGATACGTCACAGAGGTCCCCTAACCTGTTCTCATTTTTTATTTTTTTCGCTGTTCAGCTTGGGTGTTTTCTATTACCCTGTCTTCCAGATCACTGATCTGTTCTTTATCCTCTAATCTACTGATTTCCTCTAACACATTTTTTATTTTATTATATTCTTTACCTCTGACTAGTTCTTTCTCAGTTCATCCACTCTTCTTTCAAGTCTGGTGAGTATCTTTCTGACCATTACCTTGAACTCTATCAGGCATTTGCTTAGCTCTTTTTCTGTGGTTTTTCCTTCTTTCATTTGGGACATACTCCTCCTGTGTCTCATTTTGTGTTTCTATAAATTAGGTAGGTCAGCTGCTTCTCCTCCTCTTGAAAATAGTGGCCTTGTGTGGAAGGCATCCTGTGGTTTCCTGCAACACAGTCCTCCCTAGTCACCAGAACCTGTTGAGGTTGAACCATGGTGGATGCTGGCATGCTGGTGGATGATGCTAGCCCTCTGCCCCACTGGCTACAATGATCATCCTGTCGTGTTAAGGGGACAGTTGTGGGCAGGGCTTGTCTGCTGCACAGCTGGCTAATAAGCCCTAGTAGTCTCTATGTGCTCAGCCTGTCTGCAATGGTCCGCTTTGCCTGCTCTGGGCTCACTGGTGAGCAGGGCTTGTTTCCTGTTTGGCTGGCTGTGAGACCTGGTTGCAGCACCTATGGGTTTGCTGGTAGGCAGGGCTGGCCGTTAGCCCAGGTGTCTGGAATGAGCCTCTGTGACTGCTGCAGACACTGAGGGTAGGGCTTGCTCCATCTATAGGCAGCTGAGAAGCACGGCTATAGCAATTGCACATGCACTGGTGTGTGGGGTTAGCTCCACCCTCCCCAGGGCAGGAGGTGCTGTGGAGGGGTGCCTACCACGGTGGGCAGGTTGGACAGGGCAGGGCACACAGTGCTAGCAAGGTAGGGGGAGAATGTCAGAACTGGCTTCTCCAAGTGTCTGGCTATCTAGGCTGGGAGAGAGCAAGAAAAAGGGCACCTACCAGCACTTTCATGCCTAGAGAAAGCTCCTGTATTTCCTGTAGATTCCTGCCCCTCCTGTACACATCCTAAAACTAGTCAATAAATCTCCCTCACATATACCCCGGGCACTTTTCAAACTGTTCCTTCTGTGCTCTGTCTCGGGCCAAGTTATGTAATGTGTTGGCTTTTAAAGGGTGAGGACTTGGTTTCCTAAGCCCTCCAGCTCTCCTGGAGTTAAGCCACACAGATTTTCAAAGCCAGACATTATGGAGACTGGGTCTTCCCAGTGCAAGTCCCCAGGGCCAGGGGTGTCCATTGTGGGGTTGCTCCTCCTTGCCTGTGATGTCCCCCACCTTTGTTGAGTAGTCACTCCAGGAGTTTCATTCCCAATGCATCTGTCCCTCCTACCCTTTTTGATGTCATCTTGTGTCTACACCTAGCTGTGGAAGATCTGTTCTGCCACTCTTCAGGTGGTTTTCAGAGTGAGTTGCAGTACATGTAGCTGTTGCCTCCATATGTCCGTGGGGGAGGTGAATTAGGGTTCTCCTACTCTGCCATCTTCCCTCTCCTATAAAATTTCTTTTAAAAAATACTACTGTTTTCTCCACAATGGATAGTTATACAAAGTCATTTTAATATAGTCATTTCCAAATGTATGAGGTAAAACATTCTAAGAAAAATTTAATAGGCAATAAAATATTAACATAAGACAAATATGTGAAAATTATTTTAGAGCTTGTTTTTCATAGATGTTCACCTACTGGTACAAGAGTAAAACCTGCGTTAGGTGAGTTCGTGCAAGCTTCTCCATAAGTTGGTCTCCAGTAATAATGCTTTTTAAGGCCATTGGAGACTTCTGCAAGATACACATGTCCATCCACCATAAATGGCTCCACATCTGTATTATCTGGTTTTAGACGGTCCATTTGAATTAAGTCTGAATAAGCCTATGATTTTTAAGAAAAGAAAAACCTATCATTAAGAAAATTGTTTACCACAAAAATGAATAAGCTAATTTCAGTATTCAGATTAGCTGTGATTTTTAGTTTAAAATATTCTGAGTAAATTACTGAATTTTAGTATTTTTTACATATGATTTTTGTTCACCTAATATCACATAATGAAATTAAAATCTTGAAAAAATTATTTCTAAGTTTTAAGGTATTTTGTTTTATGGCTCCCAGAATTAACAGTTCTCTGTATCGCAGATTTCGTGGGCCAAAGGTCCCATGGTCAAAATTTTCAAGTCCTACGGGGGTTCTTAAATGAGGGAAGAGGGAGTTGTATATGCCTTGAAAATCTGATGGTAGCCAGGGACCATTTCTCAGAAAAATAAGCAACCAAATTTTGGCATACAACTGTATGGAGTTCATGAACTCCCTGAAGCTAATTTATAGACTGAGGTTTAGACAATTTCTGTAGTATTAGATGCTGGCCTGGCAGTAGCCTAATTCCGTCTTCACTGTAGAATTTTCTTTGTATATCTCTTGGGTCATTGGTATCTTTGTAAGGGTGTCATACAAACATGTTAAAATGGTTGGTCAATAAGGTTGTGAGTATAGAGAAAGGCAGATATTTAGACAATAAAAGATTTAAAATTTTAGTTGCTTTCTACTTTAGCTTATTATTCCAAACTAATTCTAATGTGTAGAATATGATCTTTTTCTGAAATCAAGGGTTTAAATAGTATATTTTATTACTCTTCTTAGAGGTGGAATTTTGGATAGTCTTTTTGCAAAAAAGCATCTTCATTCTTTCCAAATAAAAACTATTTGTTACAATGCCTTTTGTTTTGAAAGTCGTATCAAGGGCTCTATTTACATAAGCAACATAAAAGCACTGTATGTCTCCAAATTCCACGTCTTGGTTTAATTATTGGGCAGCAGACGAGATTGTGTTACATCAAATTTAGAATAAATCAACAGTTGTGACTTTTAAAATGTTTTAACTTTGGAGGAATTGGGACTGTATAATTCAGTGATCTCTGTATTAATATGTAGTGTTTGATATCTTCTATTTCAACCACAAAACTTTCTAGTGCTTAATTTTTAGGACTTATGTTAAAATTTATCAAAACTTAAGTGTCTTACTACATTTTGGAATCATTTCCAAGGCCACCTGTAAATGCCTGATATTATAGAGAAGACCCCAGAAAAAGCCTTTAGTGAAGATTAAAAAAACCAAACAACTCACCACACATGTAGCCTCATCAAATTTGTTTCCCCAAATGTAGACATTCGAGAATGTGGGGTTTGTTTTCATTGACTCTGAAAGTGCAACAAGTCCTTCTCCCTCTATGTTGTTGCTGACTACTGACAACCTATGAGAAACAAGAATAACCCTGAAAACCAAAACGTACTTCCACAAAGATGATGCATAAGTTAGCCAACAACATTTATTACATTTTATTGTGTAAAATCTTAGGAATTATATTAAAGATACTTAAGAATAATGCTAACTAAAATCCAAGAAACTTCATTTTCTAAGTGGATGCTTCATGTATCCAGTATAGTTAACTACATTTTAGAAACCAACAGCCTGTTTTATATCATTTAGTAAATGTTTAGGGTGGATTACAAATACACCCTTCAGGATAAAATCATCCAATAATACTTTGATTATTTTTTGTCTTGATCATATTATGATTTTTCTATAGAATTCAGGATAAATACTGTAGGCAGTAAGAATTTTCTCAATCTTAAGTAATCACAACCAGAATCAGTCTAATTTTTAATAGACATTACTTTTGCAAAAGAAACTGAAATGTTTAATGAAATGTCAGTTTAGAAACTTCTCATATTTCATCATGAATCTTGAGTTTTAAGGGGCTTGAGGCTAGTGTTTTAAAAGTTTTTCTCTTATTTTGATTAAATATAAAACCATACTAACGCTCTAAGACTCCTGTTGTGTGAAGCAAGAGTTTCACTGAGATACTTTGCTCCTGCATTTTCTATTCTGTTAAAAGAAAGATCTAATACTTCCAGGGTAGTATTGCTTTTCAGTACATCAGCCAAACACACCATTCCGTCACGAGTTATTTTATTGCTGGGAAAGGAAAAATACATGGTTACATTTGAAAATACGAAGTATTCTTTTATTCACAGAGATTAACATGCTTCAAAACTGTTGTATAGAACATTACTTTCTAGTTTAGTAAAGATTTTAATCACTCAGTTTCCAAAAAAGTTAATCTAAATTTGCCATAAAATGTTTCCAGTCTGGTTTACTCATGATTAAATTGCTCATTCACATTGTTAGGAGATAAAATAGCATATAAACTAAATACTAAGGCTTAGGACAAAAAGTTGACAACAATGGTTGCATTTTCTGATCTAACAGTATATCCTGTGTACTGTGAATATTTACATAGATTATTCCCAGGACTTCTGGATTAATGTATTATCACTTACCAGCTGACATCAAGGTAGCGTAGGCTTCTGTTCAGATACAGTGCATCACATAACTGTTTAATACCACAGTTCTTTATATTATGCTTACACATGTGTAGTTCAACAAGGCAGTGATTTTCTTTCAACATGTGGCCTAGATGAACTGTGGACTCTTCCTAAAAATAGGTGAAATCTTTTTCTAAAATACAGTTTGGAAGCTGTACATGTTTATTCCAAATATATGCTAAGTTACTTAAATTAGCTTTTTAAAAAGATATCAGTTAAGACTATTAGCCTATAGTTTGTATTTGTTTTGGCTTGGCTTTTAAGAAAAATCACTTTTGCCACAAATGATACTTCATCATTTTAAAAACCAGCAGCAGGCCCTTGGAAAGTACAGTGACTAAGTGATGTAAAAGAGGCTGGTTTTAAAAAGTCAATTCTAAACAACACTCCAGAAGGGGAGGAAAAAAAAAAAAACTTGGCCCCATGACGTATTGCCCATATTAAGCTCCCTTATTGCTGTCCTCTCAAGAATCTCTAAATGTTTCTTATACCCTCCATATGTTCCTGAACTTTTCTCTTGATCTCTACTCTTTATAGATAAAATACAAAGGCATTTCTCAATGTTGATTCTGTTTTAAAAATATACTCATTAGTCTTGTGATATCCAATTCTTCCCTTTTATAATCCCAAATTTCTAAATATGTTTTACTGTTCTAGTCACTGGAAGACTTACTTTTAATTCCAAACTCTAGCTGCTTCCAGGCAAAAAGTATATAACCTCAATGAGGATTTGAGTACCAAGCACTAAGTTTTTAACAAAGTCAAACCAGGTCTTAAAATGAATGGGTCAGTATTTTATGGTAAGGAGAAGTCCTCTTACTTGATTGCTGCATTTTTTTTCTTTTTAAAGTAAGCTCCATGCCTAGCATGGAGCCCAATGCAGGGCTTGGACTGAGATCAAGACCTGAGCTGAGATCAAGAGTATGATGCTTAACTGACCGAGCCACCCAGGTTCCCCAAGATTGCTCTTTTTATAAGTTTTATAGTCACTGGAAATGCTGATCACGACCATGGATAACTATGTATGCTCAAATTATGTACTTCTACATAATAACTCTGAGAAAAACTACAAAAGTTAAATGAAACCACATAGCAGTAGCAGATAGTACATGAGTTTTATAATAAAAGTATGAGCTTTATAATAAAATTGTCCAAATACTAGCTTTATACTAGCTGTCTGACTTTGGGCAAATTATTTCATCTAGCTAAGTCTCAGTTTCCTTTTCTGTAAGACAGGTAAAATTATACTTCCCTCACAAGTAACAAAAAAGTACCTGGCATAAAATAACTGTTCTGTACAACACTATAAAGCATTTTTTATTGTTCAGTAGTCTATAGTCCTATTTCTGATTTGTTTAAATTATTGCTGGCACTGAAAAAGAAGGGAAGCTATAGTTTGGGATCTTAAATGTAAACTGACCACTTAGGGGTCCAGTATTGCTCTGCATGGTGCCTGGAACAGAGGACAGGATACATATTTGTGTTTTATGCTTTGATTGCATTTTTTTTTTTTTTTAGGTCAAGAAGTTTGGTTGAGGGACCACCCTTATTAGGGAAGGGAACTAAAATCAGAAATAGAAGTTTTTAGATCCATTTACCAACTTTGACAATTTGCCTAGGATGGCATCTGGCATCCTTATCTTTTCATGCTCCCCAGATAGTGAAATGGAAGAGAGGTTTGCAGGGCTTATGTTTGGGAACAGCAAAGTATGAAGAAGCACAGGAGGGTCTACTCCATAGCCACTGAAGAGACTAGTACTCACAGGGACAGAGGGTAGTGGCTGCCTTGGAGAGGAATAGAAAGCAGGCTGGAGTTTAGCTGACTGCTAGAAGCACCAGGCTAAGAGCAAGGGCCTGGACCTAAGACCTTGGGCTTTTCTTACCTATTCTCTGATTTGGGAATAATGACACCACTTGACACAAAGAGGAATCGTTGGGGTGCCTGGGTGGCTCAGTCGTTAAGCATCTGCCTTCAGCTCAGGTCAGTCCTGGGATTGAGCCCCACATCGGGGAAGCCGGCTTCTCCCTCTCTCACTCCCCCTACTGTGTTCCCTCTCTCGCTGTGTCTCTCTCTGTGTCAAATAAATCTTTAAAAAAAAAAAAAATCGTGCTTCTAGTGTGATTTCATATAGTTTAACAGACTTATTTCCTCAAGGTCTAATCCAGAAAATTCTGATTTAGCCTTGAAATCTCATGTCCTCAATCTGAAAACCTGCTCTGCCACTTCTGTTAAAGAGCAAAGAGAAGCCTTGAAAGCAGCTACAATGTTTTTACTCATCATCTTGTCTCCGGCATGCAGCTTACCTATAGGATCAAGTCCAGACTTCCCAGGCTGCTCTTCACACGTATTTGGCCACGGTTACTCATGATTTCAAAGCGGTTTAGTGATATCAGTATAACAAACAACAAAACAATTCACACTGAGCTCTTATCCAACCTTTAAAACTTTTAATCACTGTTCTCGTCTTAACTACTCTGCCTCTTTACAGGTTTACTCACTGTTAATCTGAGTTTACAAGAAAGAAAAAAAAAAAAGACATATTTACTGCTTAAACATCTAAAATCATTATTTAACTCAATTTTTCTTCAAGTAAGTTTTTCTTTGTAAATGCAGTAAATTCTAAAAATATGAATGAACCTTGACATAAACTTCAGTAAAGAGTACCTTCATTTTATTCACATGTAGTAATATTAGCTGTCATCACTTTGAATACATACCTGTTCACCATACAGTATAGGTCGGTTTAGGTTTATTCCCTTAATTGTTTGGTTTTGAGTTAGGACTGTAGCCAATGCTATCACACTTTGCATTCCCTAGAAACAGTAAATTCATTAAGGAAACTGACAAAGTATATAACCTCCCTATTTCAAAATTAGTAATCTGGATTCTGAGAAATAAATTGTATTTTAAATTGTAAACCCTGAATTATAGTTTGGTCAAATTCAGAAATGAATTGTTACTATGTTCTTTTCTCCCTGCCCTAAAATCTTTAACATGCACGGGGAGTTCTTAAAGTTTTGGCATCCATTTCCCAGGACGTTCACCTCCAGGTTTGCTTCTAAGCCTTCAAGGTTCTGTGTGTTTCCGACTTCAGATACCCAGACACAGATGCAGATCCCAGCTAGGGTTCTACACTACTTAGAACAGACCTTGTGCAAGCATTCTTTTATATGCATACTCACTTACAGTGTCTGTGCAGTGGGAAAGGTTTACTAATCACATTTTTCATAGCTTCCACAGGATTCCCTCTTTACGTTATTGGAAGGGCCTAATTCTCCAATTTCTGTGATGGACACCACCACACACCCCTAGCTGTTAGGCCAGAAAATCTGGGCCTCCTCTCTGCCAGTCTACTCACCCTCCCATCCAATTAGTAAGTCTTAGAGATTCTGTCTCCGAAAGAGGTCTCAGATTAACACATCTGTGTGCCACCACCCCACCCCCAGTCCTTACTGCCCGCCTGGACTATAGTAACTTCCTAAGTGGACAGTGAGCTTCCTCTCGCCACCCTCTAATTCCCCACAGAAACCACAGTGATCTTTTTAAAGGACAAATCATGTCACCCCTCAAAGCCTTATCATGATACGTATAACACAATCCCCTCTTCCCCTGGCCTGTGACCCACAACCCATACAACGTTGCTGGATCTGGCCTCTGCACACCTCCTACCTTCACTTGAGATACTCTTAACTCCTTCTTTCTAGCCACTCTAGCTTTTCGGTTCTTAAAACCTGCCAGACTCAACATTTCATTATTCATGTGCCACTCATGATTTTTGCCATATTGGAATCTCAGTTTTACTGTTTACTTAATAGTGCTCTATTAAATCAACTTTTTCCACTTTATTTTAAAGCTCTATCACTACCATAAATGGAAAACCGTAATTCCTCAAAATAGAGCATTTGTAAAAATAAATACATGAGTTGTAAAATCACCTCAATCTATAATAGCAATGCTACCCATATCACACTTGGAGTAACACTATCTTTTAGAGTCTTTGTGTGCTGGACCCCTGCCTGGAATGTTTTGCCATGGACCCTCTCCAAGGCAGTTTTTTTCTCACCCTTCGTGACTCAGGTATTACCTCCTCAGATATTAGGCAACTGTCCTATCATGCAGATTACCTCCTACCAGAGTACTTGGCCATCTTGGTAGCACTTTTCTCTTTATTGATGTTTTCCCAACTAGAATATAGGCTTTCTAATGAAGTAGCATTTTTTTTTAATTAAAAAACAATTTCTCAAAAAGTCCCATATAGGTTAAGAAGGGTTATAGATAGAAGCTTAGGAAGAATTTTATTCTAGGTATTCCTCTACAGTATTATTTAAAACAATCTGATTAATAGCACTATTATGCCTAATAGTAAAAACAAAAAAAACCCTTTTTCTCTGATATTAGATATTAGGGGCAAGCTTCATAAGACTGTCATTTAGCTGGTCTCTTTAACAATTCCCTATCCTGGTTTCCAAGGAGAATGATGTAGTACCTGGGTGATTTTTCTCAACCATTTTACTCACCAGATCACAGTCACCCAGATCTAATTTTTCTAAAGATGAATTAATTTGTAGCATTGCAGCAAAAAACATTCCGCCTTTATTTTCAATCTTGTTTCCAGTCATTCTTAGGTATTTCAGAGTTGTATTCTTCTGAAAAGGAAAAGAATCAAAACTCCATTAAATTTTTATTCCATAGAATTCTCTTTGGTATCATGAGTTAGGAGACTTACTATTTGCAGACTCCTCAATTTTTCATGGTTTCATGGAGATAGAATAAGATATACTCCTTAAAGGTAACATTCAGTTTCCCAATAAGAGATAAGAAATCTAGTTTTTTACTGGGAAGAATGCCCAGGAAACAGATGTCCAAACAATGCCCAGTAAATGAAGCAGATTTTTAATAAATTTTCCTTTAATTGGGAAATCTATAAATTTGTTTTCTAAGAAAATTATACCACTTTTTTTTTATTGAGGTGAAATTCATATAACCCAAAGTTAACTATTTTAAAGTAAACAATTCACTGGTTTTTAATAAATTCACAATGTTATATGGTCATCACCTAGCTGGTTTCAAAATACTTCACCCCCCCCCCTACTCCCCACAAAGGAGGCCCTGCACCCATTAAGCAATCACTCCATATTCTCCCTGAATCACTTTTAAAGGAATATAATTCCTCAGACACTTGCAAAATTTAACTCCTCTCATTCCACTCTTAATAATTCTTTCACAAAGAAAAATCAGACATTTCAGTGTCCTAATGAATATTAGAGGATATATAACTGCAAATAGTTATTGAAACCCCTTAAGAGCAGGAAGAAGGCAAGTATGTCTACTGTTTGTTTTTTTAAAGATTTTATTTAGTTTACAGAGAGAACAAGCAGGGGGAGCAGCAGAGGGAGAGGGAGAAGCAGGCTCCCCACTGAGCAGGAAACCTGATGTGGGGCTCGATCCCAGGAACCTGGGATCATGACTTGAGCCAAAGGCAGACGTTTAACACACTGAGCCACCTAATAGGATGTCTACTGTTAATACTTCAAGTGTACTGGAGGTTCTAGATGAGGCAATTAGGCAAGGAAAAGAAACAAAAAAAGGCATCCACATTGGAAAAGAAAACTATCTCTGTCTGCATATAACATGATCTTATATATGGAAAATCCTAAGGAATCCACCCAAAAAAAGCTGTTAGAACTAGTGAGTTCAGCAAGACCGCAGGACACAACATCAATATATAAAAATCAGTTGTGTTTCTGCACACTAGCAATGAACAATGCAAGACTGAAATTAAGACTATCCCATTTACAATAGCATCAAAAAGAATAAAGCATTAGCAATAAATTTAGCAAAAGCAAGATCTGCACATTAAAAACAAAGCACTGTTGAAGGAAATAAAGATATAAATAATGGAAACACATCCCACGTTCATGGATCAGAAGACAATACTGTTAGGATGGCAGTACTCCCCAAATTAAGACGTAAAACAATTCCTCTCAAAATCCTTGTTTTTCTTGCAGAAATTGATAAACTGATCTTAAAATTCATATGGAAATGCAAGGGACCCTGAAGATCCACCACATCTTGAAACAAGAACAAAAAGGACTCACTTCTTGACTTCGAAACTGACCACAAACTACAGTAATCAAGGTAGTGTGAGACTGACATAAGGACAGACATACAGGTTAATGGAGTAGAATGAGGAGTAGAGAAATAAACCATTTGTAATGGATTTTTGACAAGGGCATCAAGAAGATTAATGGGGGAGGAATAGTCTTAAATAGTGTTGGGACAACTGGATATCCACATGCAAAAGAATGAAGTTAGACTCCTTCCTCACATCATATACAAAAATTAAAATGGATCAAAGAACTAAAAGGAGCTAAAACAAAAACGGTTAGAAGAATATGCAAGTGTAAATCTTCATAACTTTGAGTTAGGCAAGGCCTTAGATATAACACCAAAAGCACAAACAAAAGAAAAACTAAGTTGAGCTTTATCAAAATTAATTCTATGCTTCAAAGGACACCATTAAGGAAGTGAAAAGGCAACCTACAGAATGAGAGAAAACATTTGCAAATCATGTATAAGGGACTTACATCCAGAACATATGAAAACTCCTAGAACTTAAAAAGACAACTAGACATGGGCATCGAACAGGCATTTTTTCCAAAGAATGACACATGAAAAGATGCTCAGCATCATTATTCATGATGGAAATGCAAACCAAAACCAAAAAACCTCTGCATATCCACTAGGTTGGCTAAAATCAAGAGGACAGTAACAAGTGCTGGCTGTAGAGAAGATGGACCTGGATGTGCTGGATGTATCTTAATAAAGCTTTTTTTAAAGGAGTTCAAAAGTGCTCATGTTACATTTTAATAAATTGAAGTGTAATAAAAGTACACATTTGCACAATAATGAGTTCATAACATTTCATTCTGTTAATTACAAGCCATCAGAAGTTAAAATTCCCAAAGAAAATGTTAGTTTGAGGTATATAAATGCTTACATGTAGTGCTTTAGCAATCAGTTCTCCACCTTCGGGCCCAATATCATTAAACATAAGGTTTAAGTAAACGAGGTTATGTTGTTTCTATAATAAGGAGAGGAAAGAAGCTATTACATATATAATTGTTAGGAAAAAAAAAATAATATAGGAGCTGCTTTATTTAAGTAAAAGTATTTACCTCCAAAGAAAATCTTTGTAACAGAAAATCTGAAAGTCCAGCAAAAGAAGCTACCATTAAGGTGTGTGTGTGGAGGGGGAGGGAATCACCATGCTCATTTAAACATAATTGCAATATAAATGAAAGAAAGAGACTATATTCTATTTTGATCAATCATTCAAAGTATGAATGTCCTTTATTTAACCATAGTGTACAAGTTTGCAAAAGAGGACTCAGGAGCTCTAGGTACCAGCAATCTACCAATAACAAATACACAAGTGGGTTTTCCACTTATTTCAAGTGTTATAAATATAGTGCAAGGTCAGGATCCTGGACATTTTACAAAACTAGCATTTTGTGTGTGTGTGTGCCACTAGAGTAGGTGGTTTCACCACAAACAACTAAGAAAACTCAAGAACATTTTGATTATTTTTGCAGCATTTTTGTAATTGCTGAGAATTAGCTCATATTTTTCAGTCTTTACTCTGTCCTTGTGCTGTGTGCCATCGCATGGATATGAGAATTTTAGGATCATTTTAAAGCTCATTGCAAGCACATTTAGCAATTGAGATTGGGACAAGTAGTTAGGAACTTAAAAAACCAATTTAAGAGAGGTATCAAAAAATGATATATGCTGCTTTAAACATTTTAACTGAAAATACAGACATATACCCATATTTGCTTCTGACGCTGAAACAAAGCCTTTTCTTAAAGTACACCTACTCTGATTGGTAGACCACACTGTCTTTTGTTTTTGTTTTTGTTTTTTTGACCCCCCTGTCTGTCTTAAATAAAATGAACCGCAATGCAGCACGGGCATCGCCAAAGTGAAGGCTGCAATGAAGGGTTAACTTAGCAGGCTTGGGATGCTCGAACCCTGTACATTCCAAAGAAAAAGGACTGCTTCTTCACTGACTCCTGGAAGAAAACATAACGAACTAAGAACATTTTGTAGTAAAATACCTGAAGCAGTCTTGCAGCATAGTATGCACCAACGTCACTTACGAAGTTATATCTAACATCCAAACCTGAAGAACACAGATGAATACAGGCTGATGTTCCTTATACTGAATAATTAAAATCAGGAAAATGAAAGCAAGAGGTAATGATTGTTAAGGAGACATATACCATTAATATATGGATTCTTCTTTAAAATTCTGAAAAGAATCCAAAAATCTTCACCTGTTACTTTTTCTTCTGGCATTAAGCGACTGTTACCAGCAATGTTTAATGTGATTCCTTCCGATCTATTAAAATACAAAAAAGAAACCCACTAAAGAAATAGAAGTATTTCTTCCTCCTACATAAATAGTAACATCATGAATAGCATTTACTGAAACCAAGTATGTATCACAATACAGATTCATACTAAGTAACTTAAGACAACTGAATCTTTTATAGATTTTGTAAACACTTTTACACTATATAATTTTTCTTTCACACGCACACAAACACACACACACAAAACAATGTATCGGGATGCCTGGGTGGCTCAGTAGGTTGAGCGTCTGCCTTCTGCTGGGATCGGGTCCCACAGCCGGCTCCTTGTTCAGCCAGCAGGGAGGCTGCTGCTTCCCCTGCTTGTGTGCTCCCTCTCTCTCTGACAAATAAATAAATGGAATCTTTAAAAAAAAAAAAAAAGTATCTCCACCTGATAGATAAATGATATCAAAGACTTCAATGTTTTTCATAAATCAATCCAGCTCACAGGAGTTCAAGACAAATGTGAAGGCTAGACTCGGAGATGGCTGGTCTAGTGCTCTTCCCCATATACTCCACTACCTCCAAGACCAGCTAACAGTGTCCATCAGCCACTGTCCTAAATCAAAAGGTAGGTCTGTTTTAAAAAGCACGTGCAAATGGCTTTAAACAAATCACTCGGTATTCCAGGATTTTCACAGGATGTCAGTGAATATTACTTATGTAGTCAAGTTAAGTGTCTTCCTTACCCCTTTTCAATTTCTTCATCCACTTCTTGGAGTATATGCAATATAAAGGAATTAATTTTCTGGGACTTTTCCATACAGAGATTATAATAATTTTCCTGGAGATGGCCAATAACTTCTGGAGCTTTTGAAAAATAAGTGCATTACTCTTCATCACATACAAATTATACCAGGACCTTTCCTGTTCCCCTCCATCCCCTCCCCCAAAACACACTTCTTTCAAAGATACGAATGTGTGTGTGCATAGAGTCAGGGGTGAGGAAGAAAAGGCAACAGAATTAAGAATAGAGAAAGAAGAGGGAAATAGTAGGAACTGGGGGGAATAAGAATGCTGTTTGGAGAAGCAGGGCCATAGAAGCACCCACCGAGGGTAGGCAGACACTAACATGGAAGTGACATAAAGGGAGAACTAACAGAGGTAGCAGAGTAAAAGGATATTCAGAGAAATGATTTTGTCCCAAATCATACGGCTAATAAGGACGGAGTATAAAAACGGACTCCAAATCCTCTTTCCACTCCGCCACATCACGTCAGGGGGACTCACGTTTTCTTATGACTTCAAATAAAGGCAATTTTAATCAGAGAATCTACACTCTAAAAGGATCTGAAAAATCCCCAAGTCTCAGAGGCTCCTTGGATACCCTCACATAAGTTGATGGCATCTTTGGCTACAGCTCTGTCGGTTCCTCCTAACACGGAGTTGAGGCCTGACTCAGAGAAGCTCTTCACCTACCCTGGCCTTCCATTTCCTCTTTCTAAAGGTTGATTTTTCTCTTTTCAGTCCTTAATAAAGAAGACGGAAACAAAGCAGGAGTTGAAATCTCCTTCCTCTGTTACGCCTGCATCTTTCCTTAATGGTCTTACTGTCTTTGATACTAACTTAAAAGGATCTTTTGCAAGACCCAAGCCTTCTGGGGGTGGAAATGTTGTCTCTCTTCTTAGAAGCACATACCACTATCTTTGTTTTCTATCCTGTCTTTTGTATGGGTCTCTTAAAAAAAAAAAAAATGTGTGCTCAGAGATCTCACTATTCAACCAGCCTGGTATCTTCAGGAGCCAGCCTAAGTCTCTGCATCTCAAGAGATGTTCTTTTTTTATAAGGTTCTTTTTTTTAAAAAAAAGATTTTATTTGAGAGAGAGAGTGAGAGAGAGAGAGAGAGCACATGGGGGCGGAGGGTCAGAGGGAGAAGCAGACTCCCTGCTGAGCAGGGAGCCTGATGTGGGACTCGATCCTGGGACTCTGGGATCATGACCTGAGCCGAAGGCAGTCACCTAACCAACTGAGCCGCCCAGGCGCCCTCAAGAGATGTTCTTTGCTGAGATTTCTGCACTGTATGAACTCAAAGAGTTTGCTAAACAAACTTGCAGAACAAGATTTAAAATGAGGAATATTACATTAAAAATGAAAGCAGTAAACTTTTTTAATAGTTTTTTTTAAATAAGCTTTTAAAAAAATTAGCCCACTTATTCCAGACAACTTGGAAATTTCAATATCAAAAATAAATAAATATTTATCAGCAATCCCACTGCTAAAGAACCATTATAATTAAGGTCTGTGGGTATTTCCTCCTTATTGTTTTTCTCATCTATGTACATATTAGCCTTTTTTAAAAAAAAATGAAATATTTCAGTACAGTCCTATATCTGTTAACATTGTAAGCTTTCCCATGTCGGTCTCTGAAAAATTTTAATGTCAACAGAATTTCCTGTCTTATGGGTGGATGTACATAAGAAACCCTTCACTTATTTTAGGAAGTTTCCATGAATTTATATAACATTTTAGCACAATATTTCCCAAACTGTGTTCCTCAGAATACTAATCTTCCAGAAGATGATCAAAGATGTTCTAAATAGAATAGATTTTATTGTCAAATAAGTTTGGGAACTGCTGAATTAAAGCTAAGCAGACCTCTATACTTCTCAGGACATTTACAACACTCAGGTGCACAAAGACTCTTCAAACTGTTGAGCCTGGAGAGAAGGGAGAAAAAAAATACTCCATTTCCCAGACTTATGTGACCATGGTTCACATGGAATTCAAACTACACAGTGCTACTTTAGCATTCTTCACAGGAAACACAGTAAATAGATCTCTAACAAATTTACTTGTTGGAGCTGGGCTCCCACTGGGCTTCTTTCCTCCCTTCTTGCATACTACCTTCCTTGCTATTAAAAAGAGAAGACTGGCCTGAGAATCTCTGAGGTTCAGTGCCTGCCCTCAGCTGGCCGCACCAACCCAGCACATGCATAAGAAATGTGTCAGAACTCATGTTTCTCTGAAGGAAGGAATCTTAGACACAACTTAAATATAGCTAAAGAAAGTTACAAGAAAATTCTTGGGGTGCCTGGGTGGCTCAGTCGGTTAAGCATCTGTCTTCAGCTCAGGTCATGATCCTGGGGTCCTGGGATTGAGGCCCCCATCGGGTTTTTTGCTCAGTGGGGAGTCTGCTTCTCCCTCTGCCTCTCTCCCCAGCTTGTGCTCTCCCTCTCTCAAATAAATAAATAAAATCTTAAAAAAAAAAAGAAAATTCTTATTACCTGACCATGGATTTAAAGTATTTAAAAGTTTCTGCTATATTTTTCTGCTATGTTCTCTTTCATTTAAAATTCACCTAAGTGTTGTGTGTCAGGATTTTATGGCACCAATAATTTATTTCCTGTATTCATATTAGGGGAAAATAATAAATCCGTCTTCAAATTGTAAAGCTTAAACTAGGACTAACCAGTTACACAATATCAAGACTCTAACTCAAATGTCATTTTTCATCCATGCCAAAGTCTTGTATTCCAAATATTTTTCACCTGGCAGCACTTGTTAGAATTTCTAAAGAAAGGGCTCATTTCGGAGGTGGTCCCCTATCCCTTCTATACAGGAAAAGCCAAGTAGCAGGAAATCCAAGGGTTAGGAGTGAGTCAGACTGGGCTACCTACCCAGGATCACCTGTGTACCTTTGTACAAGCTACCTTAATTCTCCCATCTTAAATTTCCTCTTACGCTAAAAGCAGAGCACGGTGCCCATCTCAAGGATGCAGTGAGGAATACGTAAGGCTTCTAGCACGGTTCCCTATCTACAAGCGCCCACTTTATAACACAAGCATCCAAAATGGAATCGGTGGCAGGAGGAGGGGCGTGCAGGCTACGCTTAATTTGCTAGAGATATTTCAAGGTTGCAGAAATACTTAAAACGGAGGCGGCATAGAGAGGCAAAGTCAGAGCTGTCTCAAGACCCTCTTGCCCACCTAGTTCCTTCTTTCTGGAGCTTCCACAAAAAAGAGCCCTAGAAGAGCACCTAGACACCCTTCCCGGAGACCGTACGAGCAGAGCAACAGACACGCCTTCCTCCAGGACAAGGGCTCATGTGAAGGGCAGACCCACCAGGGGTACTTGGGGCTCCCTTCCCGCCCACATTTGGGGGGCCCCCAGAGTTCTGGCCAAAGCTGGGGTTCCCAGGGGCACCCTCCTGCCGCACCGCCCCGAGCCGGCAGCCTGCTCGGAGGAATGGGCTCGCGCGAGCAACCCTGCAGCTGGGGCCGAAGCCCCTCGTGAGCTTCCGGTGGGCCAGGCAGGCGCCAAAGGACACCCTAGTTCTTACCACTACCGTCGGCCAGGGCCCAGGACGGATTAGGGGTCGTAGTGGGAGCGGAAGGGGGGGACCGGGGCCCGGCGCGGGCGGCCTCCTTCCTGCTGCCGCACATGTTCCTTTTCACTCCGAGGCCGCCGCGCAGGCGTTGTCATGACGACGGTGCGCATGCGCCTGCCCAGTCCCAGGCCACCCGCCTGCCGCGTCTGGGCTCGGACCACCGCCAGACCCTGAGCGCCACCTCCAGCCAGCTGCGCATTCCCTGCCATTACCCACTTAGGCTCTGAAGCCTGACTGGGCAGGCGGTGATTGCCAGTGCTATGGAAGTTCCTTGGCCACTCCCTCTGGCTCCGGATTACCCAGACCTGGGTGAAAAACACAGAAGAAGGGTGCTCCGGCTCTTCTGCAGAGGGAAGTTCTTGAGGTTTAGGGGGCACGGCTGATGGGCTAGGGGCCGGGGCTACAAAGACGATTATGACACAGTCTCCTCCCCAAAGTGTGTACACACCTGCGGGGGCCAAATGCAGAAGCAGATAGTAGCACCAGCACGGATAAGGCACGGAGCTAAGGGAGCTTAAAGGGGTATGTAGATAGATAGTCTTGTGGAGGAGCGGCGGTATCAGGGAGGACTTTCTGTAGGAGGTAACTTCCTGAGTGGTCCCAGTGAATCCACCCCAGGGCGGAACTGCTTGGTGGGTGCTGGAGACGCGCAGGTACTTGGGGCCACCCAGATGAGTACGGGGCAGGGGGGCGGTGGCAGGCAGGGTCGGACCCACGTGGAGCATCCCCTGAGCAGCACAGCTGTTATGGGACAAGGACGCTGGGAGCCCTCAGATAGGGAGCAGCTGGTGGAAGGTGGATTTGACAGGACCTAGAGGAGATGAGTTCCGAAGCACCTGCAGTAGTCCAGCTGAGAGAAGATCCAGCTGAGGCTGGACTTGGGGAAAGGAGGAGAAGGGGACAAAACCCAGCCATAGTTACAGGGCAACATGCTCAGGTAATTGGACGTGGGAGAGAGAAAAAGAGGAAGGAGGGAAGGAAAGGTCTTCTGTTTGGGGTTACCATAGACCACAGGGGAAGTAGTTGAAGGGCCCCTGTAGAGAGCTCTGGAGCCAACCAGAGACTCCTTGCCTGGGAGAAGGAAGGAAGACTCTCAAAGTGAAACCAGGACGTTTTTGAACACAGTTCAAAGGTGAAAAACAAAAACATCCAGGACTTCTGTCCCTGAAGCTACCCCACTAGGCAATTCCAGAACAGCACTCCACTGCTAAGAAATTGTGCTAGGCAAGGCAGGGGTCTCTTCACACCCTGTGTAGCCCACAGATTTTAAGCATCACTTGAATTCTTTCAGATTAAATATGAATAGAAAATACTGTTTTCATTTACCCAAGTTCTACCAACAAAGCCGAGAGGTAGCTTGAAATACTAAAGCATGCGTGTGGGCACAGTTCAGCATCTACCCTCCCAACCCCTTTCAGAGTATTTGGAGTAGAGGAAAGTAAAGAGAGGTTCAGGATTTATTAATTGCTGCTCTAGGGGAAGGGAGGGATACTCTTCTAAGGGAGCAAGAAGTGCCAATCACTTTTGTTCTAGAGAGTGACTAAAAAACAGGTTCAGAACAAACAGAAAAGAGCTGCTTTTAACTAGACAAACAGCACTTAAAGCACTGTTCTCCCTATCCACCTTAGCAAAAAACAAAACACAACAACCGTATTTGCATACAACTACAGCCTGCATGTCAAAATGCATATCAAGTAGGATGCTAAAAAAAAAAAAAAAAAACCTGACCACATGTACAATTCATTTCCATCAGTACATTTTTCATTAATCCCATGATTTCCAGATGGAGGAGGGATGTAATTTTAAAAACCCTCCCCTTGAAAATCACTGACTGGGGCGGAGGGGAGGGTGGTGGAGGAAACAGATGTTGCTGAGCTGGCTTCAA